CACACAAACGGGGCAGTTGGCATTTGATGGTCTGAAACTTGGGGTTATGGACATGCCAAGACTAGCTCATCATGAAGCTAGTCTTGGCATGCCAAAAACTATAACCAGACATTATAGCAAGTACTGTGTCAACATGCAGACCCTTACTTCTAATAACACCTCTCAGCCAAGTGGATCTCTAATCCATACGAATAAGGATTCCCTACCGACCACTGAAATATTAGAATTCGTGTGAAATATAGCAGTGCTGGCACAAAAAATAAATATGTGAGTCCTTGTTAGGAAGCAGAGTGCAGAAAATATATTTGATTAATGTATTTTAGAGGGGTGAATTATAGCCCAGCCAAGCTGAAATGTGACCAGACACTTTGAAACTGTCGCTGGATCCTGTTAGAGAGCACAAATGGTCACGTTTTACATTTCATGGGAAAGGCAAGCACTCCAACCAGCAAACTTACTGAGAAAATATGTTACCAGCTGAACAGCAAGCACTGCTCCCTGCAGCCGCTCCTGTTTCTGCAGATCTGCTGCCATTACCCAACCAGCAAAAGGGTCCATTCATTTCCACAGAGGGAAATAATCTCAGTTCAAGCTGCAAATCTCCCAAGCCAACCAGAAAAAGACTAGAAACTGTTACTGAATAACAGACAAAGAAAAATTCTTGAGAAATCGCCCATGTGAGTATCAAAATGGGATAGCTATGTCACAAAGACGAGAATATCAGGTAGAGCAGACCCAGCTAAAAACCAGTATTCTCAAAATAGATGCAAAAACCTCCAAAACTAAAGCCAAGCCACGAGGTCTCCATTCTCAGACCAACCTGCAGACACTGATCTCATGCTGCTACATGGAAGAGGAAAGCAGCCATTGATTTCAATGAGTATGAGATCAAGACCATAATGCTTATAGCAGCCATACACATCAGTGTAAACCTATTTGTAACAGAACCTAAGGGCACATTTCACGTATGGCTGGGAGGAAAACTCACTCACAATGGAGGGCAGGAGTGTTCATGTAGAATTTATACTACAAAAGAAAAAGGAAAAACTTTCCTCTATGCTTCTATGTGAATTCATCAATTTAACTTACACTTAAATGGAAAATCGCTATACAGAGACCATAAAAACGTATTATGTTATCAATTGAATGGTTTACACTGCTGGCAAGCTCAGGGAAAACATACCTTTTCACTATCACCAGCCTGAGTGAATCGCATTATGAAGGATCCCATATATATCTTTAACTTTTGTACACAGCAATTCCCTTCACATGTGCTCTCCTTACCTTAAATCAAGTGAGTGATGAGAAGAAGGATGAGCGAGGGTAGAGGAGGGAAGAAGATGTAAAGAGAAAGAAAAGCTAAGGAGGAAAATAAAGAGAAAATAAAGTTAGGGATGAAGAAGAGACAGAAATGGAAAATAGAGCAAGAAAAGGGCAAGGTGCTTCTCAGAGTCCAGGATAACAAATGCATCTCAATAAAGGTGAGTTGCTCTAAAAGGAAAACAATTCACACATCTTTGCTTTCTAACGTATTTTCTAGTTCCACAGTGCCAGGAGGCAGAAGGGCAAGAAGAGACCAGAAAACAGGGAAAAGGAGATGTGGCACTGGGTCATACTTTGGCTTAGCCAAATATTTTCTGCAGTAAATCCAGTATCGATTAGTGCTAAGAGGCAAAGTTTTATGCCTGTCTCCATTCTGCAAATGCCATAGGCAGCAGCTGATGGTGTTGGGGGGCACAGCAAAGCAATAAAGACTGATTAAAAGGACTTTCAAGGCTCCTCTCATCTTTTTGCTTTCTCAGACATTTAAGGTGGGGCACACATGGTGTGTGTTGTTGGGTAGTATGGCTGTGTCTTTCTGAGGTGAATACAACAGAGCACAAGCCTTGCATGTTGTTTCACTCTGCTGCTATCTGCCTCATCTCAGTCAATCGAACCATACAGAAATAATCGCTTCTTGCATGTTATGCTGACTCAGATTCCTGCCCCAAACCCCCATAATTAGTAGAAGTGATGGTGATGCACAGCACCCCCAAGAGAGAGTGCCTGGACAGTGCAAATGGCCCTTGGTATGAAGGAATTTCCCTAGACTCAGATCTCTCCCATGAGTTGGAGGGGTCCGAGACCCCTGGTGTGTCTGGTTTCAAACTACTCTAACAATTTTTATAGCAGGAAAGTGCAAAGGGAGCAATGAAACTCTCCCCCTGCTGCTGCACCCCAGGTGGGAGAGGAGCAGAGGCCACCTCAGTGCTCTCCCAGTGGTCATCCCTCATGGTCCCGCTGCCTCTCCCTTCCTCCTTCATTAAAAAATCCCACCAAGGGAAGGAGCAAGCTTTTCTTTTAACCTAGTCATAGGGAAAAAAATAAAATGGAAGATTTGGAAAGCGCAGTGGTTATTGTTTTCATTCCTTTGTGGAAAGTTTGCTGTCCTCTACCCATGAACAATCCAAAAGCAAAATGATTTTACCTGTATTTCTCTTGCACTCCCCTTCCCCCACTAGGCTGTGCAGTGATTATTGAACAACTCTATCACTGGGATTACTGATGTTAATCAAGACCACACAATCGCATTAAACACAAGTTTCTGTAAGAACTATCCTGAAGAATATAAATTAATGATGGAGATTGTTCTGGACTGCTGGCTGCAGCGTTGCTACTGCTGGTTAAAAAACCAGCACCGTGCAAATCCCAGGAGCTCCAGAACGATGATGGGAACAATCACAGGAAAGCTGAAAATCTATTTATTAATGAAATGTAAAAAGATTGGTAGACAACAATTATACCTTAGGAGGAAGCACAAAAGAGAAGATGTGATGCGGTATAACACATACTCATCAGCACAGATGAGCCAGATCAAGGGCTTCTGCCTCAAAGCACATCATCAATTAACGGCTCGCACATTCAAGGGGATGAAAAGAAGTTTTATGGTGACCAACCCAAAAATTAGGCAAGTAAACACTACTAGGATCAACATGGTGGTGATACTAGAGTATAGAATAGATGCTCATATGCCACAAAGCCGTAGAAGCACCAGTGACATATTTTGGAAAGGACAAAGCATGGCAGCATTCTGACCGTGAGCCTGCCTCCAATGCTACAACCAGAGTAAGCTTTAAAGAGGAGATAATTCCCCAAACATTTACTTCTTAGGCCAGCAGTGGGCACAGGAGGACTCAGCATGTGGGACCCCGTGAGCAAGGCAAGGCACTGCCAGTCTGATGGCACTCCAGTCTGATGAAGGATCTCACAGACACTTTTACTGTGTGATCACATCCCTGCATTTTATGAAAGTCTTGCTGTCCTACAACAACATGCTAAAATCACATTAAAAAAAAACCAACAGTAATTGGCTTAAAGCATCTGCTTATAATTACAACCCTCCTAACTTCATTGACCTCAAAACTCCTTCTGGTGGTAAAACTACACGGCAGCATTGAAAACCAGTGTGCCTTGGGTTTTATTCAACCCAAGCTGCCTGAAGAAGAACCACATAAAAATGTTGTTAAAATAAACTTGGGGAGACAGAGACCTGGTGTAAACCAAGTGTAAACTCTGAGTGGATTTTTACTACAGACCCATAAACCTCTGAAAATAAAAGTTTGTAGTAGAAATCGAGACACATCTATCATGGGAACGCCAGGTGCTCCCATGCCTTGCAGGTACCAAATCCCACTGCAAATCTCTCCTCCTTTTCCAAAGCTGTGCCCATAAACGATGCTCCCAAAAGTGAGCTGCTGACTCCTCTATCACAGAGTTATTTCAGTGCTGGAGCCCATGCAGTCACACACCTCCATAGTTCAGACACTGCCTCTCCTCCACTCCTTTTCCCACATCCCTCAGGAAAAACCCATGGAAAAAGACACAGCTTTTGTTGGTGTGTCAAGGTCCCTAAATTGCTACTAATTGTAACACTTGTAATTATTCCTAGCTTTTCATTTGTATAACTACTATTCACAGCTCTGTTGACCAGAGGGAAACTTTAATCCCAAATGTGCTCAAGTGTCAGAATTGCTATTACACTTTCAGGGGAAAAAAAAAAAAAAAAAAAGGCTTTTAGGAACTGATAAAGTTTACCTATTGAAAATTAGAAATTAATATTTATTGTCAGATTTCCATCAGAGATTGAAACCTTTTATTTAACTGTGGCTGGAAGTGTAAATTATTCAAATGTTTACATTTGAATGTCGCTGCACTCTAATGATTCCGTTTTCTGCAGTGCATTAGTGGTAAGATAATGAAAAGCTCCATCAGCGAGTTAAGCAAACAGCCAACTACCACTTCTCTAACAGCACAGGCTCACAACAGGGTGACACCAGTGGAAGTCACAGCAACTGCCCTTACTGGTAGCATCCACATGGCACTGAAAAGCTACGTTAAAAACTGTGTGGGCTTCAGCTCATCTACCAACAGAGTTACACAGGCAAGAGGTGTGCTTTGAGGTTCTTTTTTTTTAAATCTTCTTACTTATTTAGTACACATATATATGTATAAAACTGCTGTACTGCTGTGGAAGTACTGTCTCCCATTCCATTATGTTGTTGCACAAATGCAGAGGCAGATGTTGGTGGGATGGCAGTAGAGGTTGAACCTTCCCACTGATGTTCCATTGCAGTTTGTTGCTGTGTGACAGATGGCAGCAGAGGGGCAGTCTGACAGAATGGCATCTGACGTATGACACAAAGGTGTGGAACTGAACTCCTCCCTAATGGAAAAAATAGCACCCATTGGCATTCATCACTGAATGCTGATGGAGACCAAACAGTGGTTGTGAGCATGGTGAGTGGTGGATGCTGTGCTTCAGCAGTAGTGACAGCAACATGAAAGATAAGCCACTTGCTGGATGGCTACGTGCAGCTGTCACACCATAAAATGAAGAGCATCCCAACCAGTCCATCTGTGCAAATCAGACATTGATGGTGACTATAGTGTAAAATAGCATTTTGTAGCTGGGACTTTATCAAATAATGCTTTGGTGCTCTTCGCATCCAGTGTATTTTCCATGAAAATAAATAGGAGGCACTACTTTCAAAGCAACCTACATATTGAGGAGATGAAGGAGCAAGAAAGAGAAAGCAGCTAAGTTTAAAAGTTTTCAACAAGTCTTTTTTTCCCCCCTACTTGACGAAAAAAAAATACACCCATCACTGTTCTTCTGCAGGACACTTCTTGGAGTCTCTGCACAGTTTGTTCTCAGCCTTTTACAAGAACTAAAACAGGCCCCTCTCCCCAAAAGAGCCCAATAGAGCAGGACAGGAGGCATCAGCAATCCCCTGGGCACAGGCAGGTGTGAGCCTGGAGAGGAGCAACCCCTCTGCCTCAGCACTCTCCGATATTTTCTGCCCTAACAGAGATTGTTCAGAACTACAGTAGTTGCTCTCAGTGGTTAATTTTCTCCTCTCCCCAGGGTTTTCATGGGATATCCTGTTCACGTGCCCAGAGCCCAGTATACAGGTGACCAGAGTTTCTCATATTTAAAGAAAAAAAAAATACTCACACGAGGAGAAAAATGTTTGTTTTTTTTTTTTTAAACTATGAAGACAATTTTTTTTCCTACCTCATAAAGAACCAAATCGGGGCACCAGCCCAATTTTCCCACCATTACAGCCTCCATTCCAGCCCTCACCTGTGTCACTTCTGTTACGCACAGTCCAAAGTACTGCAGCTGCCCTTGTATTTTCTGCCAGTATAATTTTTTAAATACACAAATATTATACTCCAGGGCATGTTTTCCTGGGCCAACAATACATGCCTCACTTTTATTGTGAGGCACAAGCCCTTCAGTTTCATGTCTTTTGACCTCCCAAGAAATGTATTAATGACCCCATAAAGCACGCTCTGGCACGAATTCATATTAATACAATATAGTTCTTTGTTTTTATATTACATAGTAAAAGGGGGAAGAGAAGAAAAAAAGACAGTTGTTTCAATATCCTTCCACCACAAACCATAGTACAGAGGGGGAAAAAAAACAGCAGTGACCTGAAAGAGGGATAGCTGACATCATTCAGTCTGTGTTTTGGCCATGCTTATCTCTGCTTGTGCTTCCTTCTCCACTGCTCCCAGTCCTGCCCAGCAGCACAGCCTGGCCACGTGTTGTTATGCAAAAATAATTGCAAAAAAAAAAAATAACAAAAAAATACTGGGGAAAAAAAAGTTGCTCCTTCTATATTACCTCAATTATTTTTTTCTTCCAAAACAAGTTAAATGAGTTCACTACTTCGGGCTCCTCACAGATCCCAGTCAGAGAGCGCATGGGGACCAAGTGTTGACACAACTGGTTCATTATACTCCCGGTACTCACACTAATGATAAATAGCTTATTAAACATTGCTGTAGTACCAATAGTATATACCTTGCATTTTGATATAGAAATTATATTTAAATTCCTATCAAAAACTTGTATATCCATGCTATTATCAGTCTCTCACGTGCACAGCAGAGATCAACATATATCACCTCTGCTGTTGGCCAAACAGGTCCAGCCAGGAAGATTATCCACTGCCAGATAAGTTCAAATAAAGCTAACAATGTCTTTAACCTTTCAATTAAATCAAATACTGGATAAAACCAAACCCAAAACTCCAAATAAGTGGGGCAAAGGACATCACTGATTTCTGAAGCAGACCACAGTGCTCTGAAACCCACAAAAAAACCAGAAAAATTAATTTTCACTGCCTACAAAACAAATCAAGTAAATTCTAATTTCACCCATAATGTCCTCAGCCTGTACATGTGAAAGGAGGGCAAATCTGCTCTTACTCCTACTCAAGTCTGGGAACTTTTCTTCTTACTTTGAAGAGGAAAAACATCACAGCTCATAAAACATCTGCTCTTTTTGTTGCAGCAGAACTACTTTTTCCCTTCTAACATCTCCAAAGAACACTTCAAAAGTTAATAGGAGCAAGTTGGCCAACAGCTCTGTCAACGGGAAGTCTCCCAGCTCCAAAGTTTGATAAAGAAGAGAAACCTCACCAAAAAAAATAATCCAAAACACTTTGTAAAAATCCAACAATAAAGCAGGGGCAGAGCCTTCACCAGTTATTTTTTTTTTTTTTAAACTTCCTAGCAGAATCCGAACTTTAGTTTCTCTTTGATACTTAAGACAGAATAGATAGAAATATTCATAATTAATAACAACTAAACCAAAAGTTTACTCCTTTTATTAATTTTTAAATTTAGAAAAAAATATTAAAAAACATGAAGCTGAAGTTATTTGGCAAGCTTCTTGCAATGCACATAAATAAATCTCTTTCAGCAAGTCCCTAAGGGTTTTAAGGCAAAACTTTGTGAATGCCAAGGAGGAAATCTAAAAACAATTTCTGGCTTGTTTGTTGAGCCAAAAAAGTGGACATCATGTCCAAAGCACAACTTGAAATACTGTTTTTCGTATGAAAGAATGAAGTGATGCATGTTTTCAGATCAGGACCGTCTAAGGAGTTTTCCAGTGTTGCAAGGAGTTTAACTCTTAACACCCACATCATTTCAGGGCTTTTATTGCAGCTCTTTCAGAGGAGCAGTGGGCTGCAAGGCAGATTGGTTTGCTTCTTTGCCTTTGGTAAGAAAAACATTTTGTCAGATTTACTCTAGCTAAGTAATATAGTTTCAGTATTTGGAAAGGTATCAGTGGCCTTTCACCAGTAACCTGGTGTATGTTAATTCATCCACAGAAGAGAGCCCTCACCCTGGATCCAGATCCTAACTCTGGAAATCGCCCTCTGGAGCATGAACCCCAGTCAGAGTAAGCTGGGAAAGCAGTGACAAAACATCTGAGCTGAAGACCTGCAGTGTGTTTGCATATGGGGCAACTTTGGTCACAATCAAGAAAGGCAACTTGGAAAGGCAAATTGGAAATGCAGCTCAGTCCTCGCTGCTGATCACTGGAGCAAAGTCACCAGTTCAGGCACTTAACAGAACTCCCGATGAAGCTGATCTGCTCTTCTTCTGCTTTGCATGGGTAATACATTGAGACTTGGCTCTTCTCAGTGGTGTGTAGTGACAGGACAAGGAGTAATGGCCTAAAACATGTATGTAAAGAGTCCTGTACTAAAACGAGGAAGAATTTATTTACGGTAAGGGTGACAAACCACTGGAACAGGCTGCGCAGAGAGGTTATGGTGTCTCCCCCTATGGAAATATTCAAGATCCATCTGGATGCCTTGGTGTGTGACCTGTGGTAGGGTACCTACTTTAGCAGGTGTGAGGAGGGGGATGGACTCTACAGTCTCTTCAGGTGCTTTCCAAACCCTCCAGCTCTGATTTCTACACTGGTCAGCACATCCTGCAATGGTTGAATGTCTTTAATTTCTATTTACTTCAAAAATAAATGGATGGTAGACCTGACACATGGCAGGTTTTGCTGCCACAACTCCACGTGCTGTTAAATACATGCCCCCGCTGTGTGGGAATTCACAGCTTACATCCTACTACCAGATTCTTACAGTAATGACTTTTTTCTTCCCTCTACTGATAACACCTTAAGCATGGTCCCAAAGCCTTCCAGACAACTTGTAAAATATGTGGAAAAACAAAAGTTGCACAAGCTTCCTTACCAAAATTTTGCAAAAAAAAGTCTACACTTCATGTGTAAGGTTATAACAAGCTTTTGTAACAGAAAACCTTTGTAACCTGTCTATCAAATAAGTTTCTAAACACTGTTGGAATAGCCATGCTGGAGAAAGTTACCTAACCAAAGGATATGTTTTGTTAATAATCCATTGATCACGGCTTTAAATAAAGATTCATTCTGTTTTGCTTTACTTTATGACATGTTTCAGTTACAAATAAAGCAGAAGTGAATTTTATAACATAGCAACATTTGAATTTGCACTCTGCTCTTGGAGCCCCTCTTTTTAACCCATATACACCAAGCACAAAGGGAACTGCAGTGGAAAGGGGTTGGGGACAGCCACAATACAAGAAAAGGAGTTCACAACTCCCAATGTTTAAGTGCAATCTCCATCATTTTCACCAATATCTGCTTCAAAAGCCATGCAGAACAAAACCAGAAAATACTTTTAAGAATGGCTCTCCCTATGCTTTCTGATGCAGAAGACCAGCAGTTTCTTGAACTTAAAAATCTGATAGGCTTTTCCCCTTGCACAGCAACCAATAGTTATGGGAAGGAAATACTTTCTGAAGTCACGTACAGATCTCAACAATCTACAGTTGGTTTCTGCAGCATCAAGCCCCAAAAAGTTTTATATCCTCAAACGTCAGAATCAAAACATTGTGCTTAAACAAGGTTTGTTCCAACACTGAGGTTTCTAACTATTGCTACCAACAGCACCAATGAGGATTTATGCATATATATTAATTCCTCCCTCCCTATGATTAAAATTATCACACAATTCACTGAAAATCTGAGGTAGGTGACTCTTAAATTCCCCTTGAATTCCTGTAGACATCAGCTGCCAGCACACTGTTCTTTTATGCATCATGTCACCACCCAGTTGCCTTTTATTGGAAATGAGTGTAACGCAATCATATACACCAGCTAAAAATTCAACCTTTAATATTCTCTCACTGTAGCTGGTTTTCAGGAGAGTAATTCCTGAGGAAAAAAAAAAAAAAGGTGTATTTTTGAAAAGGGCGCACATTTGTATTGCCCAGCTTGTAAGATGGCATATTAAAAATCCCTGCAAATGTCTCTCTGCTGACACTAAAAACTTAAAAACCTTCCCTGAGATGACTGTGTGTCAGAATCTAAACCAGAATCCTCTGAGCCTCTGCTCTCAGCTTCCTACTACAGAAATTATTAAAATCTGAATCTCTCTTCATCAGTGATCCTGATTTCTTTCAATCACTGGGATTAGTCAAGCTTATTTCTAACAGAAACCTTCAGTTACGGTTCAGGAGACATATATGATCACATCAATACCAGTGGGTTATACTCTATGTACATAGTGATCTGATCAAAACAAGGAGCCATTAATTTTGGGAGGTAATTGAAAAAAAAATCATTCATCCTGCAATCAAAGGCCCAATTATTTACTCAGAAGACAGAACTGATTACTTTACTTTGATCTACAGAAAATT